GAAATGTCCCAATTTCACCATCATATTTGAAGAACAGTTTTGCTGGGTACATAATTCTTGGTTGGAAATTTTTCTCTTTCAGGGTTTTATGTATACCATCCCATTGTCTTCTCACCTGCATGGTTTCTGTCAAGAAATCTGAGTTTAGTTTTATTGGTTGCCCCTTGTCAGTAACTTTTTGTTTTTCCCATACTGCTCTCATGATTCTTTCTTTGTCTTTGTTTTTGTACGTTTGATAATGCTATGTCTTGGTGATTTTCTTTTGGGGTCTATCCTGTTTGGGGTTCGTTGGACTTCTTGAATAATGGATATATTCTCATCTTTCATCATACCAGGAAAATTTTCTTCCAACAAATCTGCATCAGTTTTCGCTGTGGTTTTATTTGTCTCTTCCTGTTCTGGAATTCCGATTAAATGTAGGTTATTCCTTTTGATGGTATCCCACACGAATCTTAGGATTTCTTCATTTTGTTTTGCTCTCTTTTCTGATTTATCCCTTTCCAAGGAAGTGTTTAGGTATTTGCCTTCAATCTCCCTAATTCTGTCTTCCATTGATAAAATTCTGCTCCTTTGCCTGTTCAATGTTTTATCTATTTCTGAAAATTTAGTATTAATCTTCTGGATTTCTGTTTGTAGATTTCGTATCATTTCTAATTTTTCATTTATTTGGTCATTTTGTTCTTATATTGTCTTTTGAAATTGTTCTAGAGTTTTCTCCATGTCTTCCTTGATCTGTCTCTCAGTTCATTGAAGATACCTAAATATAATTCTTTTGAACTTGTTATCAGGGAGTTCCAATGCTGCATCTTCCTCAGGGATGTGTTTTGGGTCTGTATCCTGGTCTCTTGTTTCTCCTGCTTTATCTTGCTTCTTTGTGTGGGCTGTGATGCTCTGTTGTCTGCGAGGCATTGTGACATTTTTGTGTTTATATTTAATTTGTGATTCTATGTTGGAGTGTCTTGCCCATGATTTTTATTTTCTTTGTTTTGTTTGTATGTTATCTATGCAAGCAGGGTACTGTGCTCCTCTATTCATTAGTTGACAGCACTTATATTCTCATCACCTGTCTCCTTCTTGTTGTCAGCCTCTCATAAGTTCCTGCTGACCTTTGCAAACAGAGCCTATTCTTAGGTTCCTGGAATATGAATGAGAATGCTATCACTTTAAAATCCAAAATGGTTGCCACTTTTAAAGATTCAAAATGGCTGCACCCTTGATCACTTTACTCAAAATAGCCACCTCTTTTAAACATTCAAAATGGCTGCGCCTTTGATCATTTTAAGTATCCAAATCGACTACCACTTACAAACATTCAAACTGTCTGTGCTCTCAGTCACTTTAAATACCCAAAATGGCTGCTGCATGTAAACAATCAAAATGGCTGTGTCCTTTGGGCAGCGGAAAGTCAACAGCTCAGGTTATCTCCCTCCTTGCTGTTTCTCTTCCTATTCATAGGCCACCAGTGCAGTTGTCCCTGCAGCCCTTGGTGACCAAGGCTGATCTTTAGGTCAATTCTCAGGTCCCAACACCAATTGGAAAAATTCAGGGTGTTTATCCCATCAGAATAGCTAACAGTCCACAGCTGCGACCATCTCTGTACTCACTGTTTTCCTTCAGGTTTTCCACTAGTTGGTGCATAATGCACTTTTGTACAGCTCCTTTCAAAGCTCAGGGCTCCAGGATTATATTCTGTATCTCTGTTAATTGTTTTTTCTTTTCTTTGTTGAAAAGGGTCTGTGTTGCTTGTCTGCCTATTTCTTCATCTTACCGGAAGTCCTCTTTTTTATTATATATTTTTGAGAGTCAAATACTTATTGTTGATTATGAGACAATACCTCATTTAAATTCACCTCTATTAGGAAAGATTTTCAGTCATGATGATTGCAGAGTGAAGCTATTTGAATATAAGATGGGAATGAGAGATCTTGATGAATGACTATATAAATTAGAAAACTCAATTATTTTACCAAATTTTATGATTTTCTTTTCTCACACATGATATTGCACTAGGGATTTTGAAAGATTAATTTATCTTTGGAAGATTAATAATAAATATGACAGACTTTATTCTCTTTAGTTGTTGAACGTTAGGGCCTATGTGAGGGTTTTTAAATCTCATGATATTATTATAAGGAGGAATTGAGAAATTGATGCATTTACAGAATGAAATTATTAATGAAAAAAAGAAAATGAAATTCTTTTAAATTATGATGATCAACTTCAGATAAGTTTCAAGACTAAGTATTTTGCAGGTGGTGGGCAGAGATTTCAGCACAGTGCTTGCTATTATTTTACAAAGTCACAATGATATTTAGGGACTTTTAAGCAAAATGCCAAGGTTGCAGATAACTGTGGGCCAGTTTGCTCTGCTGAGAGAAGAAGGTCACAGATTCCATCTCTGGCTTTGTCTGCTCCCTTGCAAATGAATGATTTTGGTGGGACCTGGAGGGACCCATAGAAAGCCTGTGAGTGACTTAGCAAAAATCTGCTATTGCTTTCATAATACCAATTCAGAAGTTTATATTCTACTGACAGATCATTAGAGGTATATTGGTATGGGAAGAATAGTGCATGTCATTTCCATCTTTCTCTCTCTTTTTTATCTTTTCAGTTTGAAAAAGAGTTTACTGACCACCAAGATACTCAGGCTCAATTGCAGAAAAAAGAGGCAAAGATTAATGAGCTTCAAGCAGAATTACAAGCTTTTAAATCTCAGGTAAAATACCATCCTGAATGAATTTGGATATTGAAACCTCACCAGGGGAACAAAGGTCATGAAGTATCTTCAGTGTGTGAAAAGTTTTTAAATTTTAATTGCAGACGTATATTTTCATAGTTTTGTTTATATGCATTTTTGTTCTGCTCTGTTTATTTTAAAACAATGTATGTTGCCATTTTCTTTCTGTTTGCATTTAGGAATATGCTCAGTTTTTACTAATTAATCTGCTACCTTATGGTTCATTTGAGTTTTGCTTCTGCTCCTGTATCACATATTTCATAAGTAATTAAGCATAAAGGGTAAGAAAGTCTTTTACTGTTAGATTTGTCATTCATCACTGATTTTAATCCCACTATAAGAAATTATTGCTCAAGCTATTTATTTTTCAAAACGTTCAGCCTATGGGTACCTTGCAGTGAAAGATAACCTCTAGCTGAATAGGAACATTTTCTGATAATTTTTCAATTTCCAAAAGTAAACAGATTTAAAACATGATGAAAAAGAGAGCAAATCTAGATTATGAAGCAGATAGCTCACATACACCCTCTATACATAAAACATTTAGATAGCAAGAAATACATCATCTCTGTTTTAAATGGATGAAAGTAAGGAGGCAAAATATTCATAGCTAGATTTCTTTATGTGGATTTACATACAGGATGATGAGCCATAAGTATAGTTTTGCTATTTTCTTTTCATCCTAATTTATGGTTATGGTGAAATAGTCTCAAGTATACTATTCCCTATATTATTGGCAATTTTGTTTCCTTTTAAGTACTTGGTGGATAGCTTTGTTATGAGGCTGTCTTAAGACAACCTAAGAAGTAGTTATATGTTAATGTTCAATTTTAGAAAAACAAAATAAATTAAAATCTCCCTTCTATAAGAAAATTCTTCTCACTGATCTAATGCCTTTAGTGTCTCAGGAAGGAAGTATACTGCATTTTGTCAATTTTTTTCATTGTTCCCATGTAGTTCTTGAGTCTTGTATTGAAATAAACATTTTCTCGTGTTACATAATTTAGATTGAGTTATAGATAACGGCTGAAATATTTATGACAAGTTTTTCCTGGTCTGGGCTATATAAATTCAAAAATTTTGTTTTTAATTTTTCCCAGTTGAAGGAATACTTATAAATCTACTCTAGAAAAGTCCAGTTGATAAGAAATATATCTATCATCTTTGTATAAGTTATTGTTAAATAGTACTTTTTTGTAAAATAGGAAGAAATGTATGTTTTGAAACTGAAATGAAATCAAACTAAGAATTAGTTTGCTTTAAATTATACATAATGATGACTTGTGTATTATGATGACTATCAGAGAAAGCACAGATTTTGTGACTTAATAATGGTGACCATATTTATATTTGTAGCACAGTTGGCAAATTTTTCATGTAGCTATTAATTTGTATTTCTCTCTATGATTACATTTCCTCATTAACTCAGCAACCAGACACTTGGTTAGGTGCTGGGGATATAATGGCTTCATGAAAGGTATATTCAAGCTAATCATATTTAATAACTACCAAATAAAACTATTATAGAGCAGAAATGTAGGCATATTTTTGTTTTAAGAAATAACACCCCCCCCCCATAAATAAATAAATAAACAAACAAACCAAACTCACTGCTGTCTGGTTGTATCTGACTCATAGTGACCCCTCCTTGGGTTTCTGAGACGTTATCACTTTGGAAGTAGATTGCCCAACCTTCCTTCAGAGGAGTGGCTGGTGGGTTTGAACCGCCAGCCTTCTGGTTAGCAGTCAAATGCCTTAGGCACTACGCTACCAGAGCTCCCCAAGAAATAAACAGTAACTATAAAATGTTTATTGAGTGTCAGTATAAGAGGCATATATCCTTAAAATTCTAAATGCAGCACCATCCATGATCACAAACAAAAAGTAATACTAAAGTAATTCTTCTTTAGACTTAATTATTATTATTATTTTGACGCTTATTCTCTAATTTATGGTATCAAGTTCTTTTATATCACTTTTTTTCTTTATGATTATCTTAGGCTTTTATCTCTGATCTATTTTTCATAATTGTATCATTTTAAATGATTTGTTAACATTTTTTAAATGCTCTTTATTTTTGCAAGGTGGATAAGGAGGATGTGTGTATACATGAATGCATATATATAACCCATTAACATATAGCTCAGAATTGAAGTTAGTAATTTCAAGTATATAATCATATAGCAAAAATTATATAGAAACCAAGAGGTTCTTCTTTATAATAGTTAGAATCTATCTTTTAAACTCTTAAATGCATCTATTAAACCTCTGTGCACATAATGGAAAGAAAACAGATAGCTGCCATGAAGTCATCTCTAACATATGGTGACCTTACGTACAACAAGAGCAAACCATGCCTTGTCCCCAGTCACCTTCACAATTATTGGCATTTTTTGATCCATCACTGCAGCTATTGTGCTAGTCCATTTCACCAAGAGTCTATCTTTCACCATTCCTTTTTGGCTCTCTGCTTTACCTAAAATGATGTCCTCCTCTACTGATTGATCCCTCTTTATGATTTGTCCAAAGGAAGTGAGTAGCATTGCATGAATAATTTATTTTAGAGGGATCAGCACTCAACTTTGCTGGTGCCCCCAAATGTCCTGAATTTTCCAAACTGTTGTAACACTCTATCATCTCTAACCTCAATTCTTCCTACTCCCCTCAGTTATCTCTGTCTCGTCTTAGGGTTCTCTGATTTCACTGTTACATCTCACACAACTTAAAAACCACCAAAGAAATGGCTTATGTGATTGTGGGAGGCAAGTCCTAATTCTGTGGGTCAGTGTCAGTCTGGAGGTTACTTCTCACTCCTGTGTTTGCAGGGAATGACGAACCCAAATCAGCAGGTCAGTGAATGGGCTGCTGGCTCACAGGGTTGTGGAAGCTGGTGAATCAGGTTTGGCTCAAGTCCCAAGAACTAGAAGTCAGATGGTGATGAACCAGATGCAGACAGAACTTTGCCAGAACATTCATATATATTGGATGCAAACCATACCCTCAAGGAAACTGAAGGTGGTGGCTTGAATCACATCTTCTAGTAAGACAGTGACTCATCTGTATAACAGACAAATCACTCCAAAATGGGATGATAACTACAGGCATACAGGCTAAGATTTACAATACATCACAGAATGAAGGTCATGGCTAGACGGCTTATATTAAGTAATTCACTGCACTTCAGGAACTCTGTTCTGTTGTGATCCATAGGCTTTCACAGCGTGATTTTTGAAAGTAGATCACCAGGCTTTTCTTCCTAGTCTGTCTAAGTCTGGAGGTTCCACTGAAACCAGTTCACCATGAGTGACCTTGCTGGTGTTTGAAATACCTGTGGCATAGCTTCCAGAAACATAGCAACACATAAGTCACCACAATATGACTTGTTAGTTGCCTGTGAGTCGATTCTGACTCATGGTGACCCTGAGAGTGTGGAGTTGAACCACTCCATAATGTTTTTAGGACTGTGACCTTTCAGAAGCAGACCACCAGGCTTGTTTTCTGAGGCACCTCTGAATGGGTTTGAACCACCAACTTTTGGAAGGTGATTAAATGCTTAACTGTTAGTGCTAGGGACAATATGACTAGGGGTTATAATTTAGTTCCTTAAGTTAAAATACTTGAAAGGATATATAAATATTCCTTCTGTACTGTCAACTACAGTTGACTCTCATTTACTCTTTAACTGACTCCAGTTATTCTCCCATTCTTACAATACCACAGAAACAGGACAAAAATGAACAATGGAGAAAGTGAACTCTTTTTCACTCCTGATGTTACTTGTGGTATTTTACTTTGCGGAACAGTCTTTTTCTGGGGGTAGGGGGCGACACTCTCTTCCCTTGTGATTTATGACACTCTTCCTTTAATTTTGGGAGGACGGTTGGGCAATCTACTTCTGTAGGGATAGCGCCTCGGAAACCCAAGGAGGGATCGCTATGAGTTGGATCCAACTCGATGGCAGTGAGTTTGGTTTTTAGTTCCTTTAATTTATTCATCCTACACGTATTTCTTGATTGGTTGCTGTGACAGGCATTGCTTTAAGTGCTAAGAAATGAGTAGTGAATATGTCAAACATAGTCACTGCCCTCATGAACCTTAGATCTATCAAAAAGGCAAATGTTAATGATTCCTTAATAATTGCCTAATACTTTAGTTAAGAACTGTTAAGGAGAAGTACAAAGTGTAAAATAGAGGGCAGAACTGTGAGTAGTTAAGGAAGGCTTTCAAGAGGAAAGAACATGTTTTTGTTGTTGTTAGTTACCATCGAATCATTTCAATTTATGGTGACCCCATGTTTGCAGAGTAGAACTGCCCCATAGGGTTTTCAAGGCTGTGATCTTTCACAAGCAAATCTGTCTTCTGAGGAAGCTTTGATTCAGTTCAAACCACCAATCTTATAACTAGTATTCGAGCACTTAACTATTTGTGCCACCCAGGAGTTGTTTTAGCTAACTTGAAAGGACTAGTAGGAGATGGCCAAGTGAAATGAGTGGGGAGACTGTTCATGACATAAGGAACAGCAGGCTGAAAGGCCCTGAAATAGGTGTGAGGTTGGCACATTCATGGAATTGGGAGGAAGTCACTTGAAAGACCATTTATTAGGTGCCAGATAATGTCATACTTTTTAGCCTTACTAAGAATTTTAGATCGTTTCTCAAGTACATTGGGACATCATTAAAAGGTTTAAGCAAAGTATGATGTGGCAATAGCATTATTTTCTGAACTTTATTTCTTATTCATCATTTAAATGTTAGTGTTTCAGAAAATTCTGTACTTTTTCTTGTGCTACATATTCTCTCTGGGTGAACTTTATCTACTCCTATGGCTTCAGTGTCACCTAGAGACTGCTGATTTTTAAATCTTCTGGATCTTTCTATCCATTTCACTCTGGGACAGCACCGCCTAGATGACCATAATGCCTTCAAACTGGGGCATAATATTCTGGCAGTTACATTTTTATGAAAACAAAAACTATAATTATATTCTTTAATTGGGAAACAAATTCTGTTACTAGGTTGAATCATATAAAGCTACAGATATTCAGTCATTTTTGGTTTAAACTAATACCTTATTTTTTTTGAGAAAACTATACTTTTACATGGTTTATAGAGTTTTATAAGTTGTATTTCTTCTTATTTTTCCCTCTAGTTTGGTGCCTTGCCAGCTGATACAAGTACCTCTTTGATCCCATCAAAAGAAGATGGGACCGGCCACCCAGCACTCGTTCCTCCTCAAATGTCTTCTTGTGGAGGGCTGCCACCTCCACCACCTCCTCCCCCTCCTCCTCCACTTCCAGGGATATCAATACCATTTGGTGGCCCCATTCCTCCACCACCACCCCTTGGGTTTCTCAGTGGACAGCATTCTCCTCCTCCACCAATCCTGCCTTTTGGATTGAAACCAAAGAAAGAATTTAAACCTGAAACAAGCATGAGAAGATTGAATTGGTTAAAGGTAAAACAAATAAGTGGGGAAAACATCCTCTTATATAGATTAAAACTTACTTTTGGATTTACTTATATATATAATTTCTAATGTGAACCATAATCAAAATAATAAAAGTGCTGAAACAAAGCCCTTTGCTATTGATGAAGGCTGTCTTGTTTATAAATGTAGTCAGTGTCAATGTTAGTTGTCAGAAGGAATTTGACTTGCACTTGAGTTGATAATTTAACATTGCTGTGATTGAATTGTATGTTTATGAAGAATGTTTCTTAAAAGTACAAAAATGTTAAGTGTTCTTTGGAGCTTTCTATATTGGAAGTTACGGGGAAAAGTATTACTTATTATGAAAAGTTGCTATTTAGTCAGTACATAGGAATTCTGAATCCTAAATTCTCAACCAACTGTAACTTCTTTTGAGAGGTCCTGTAGAAAAGAACAAGGCTCGACTGAGGGCTAGTTAATTATTAGCTGGAGCAATGAGCCCAGTTCTGAGGGTAGTTTCTAGGGAAATTCTGAAATTTCTGAGGTTAGCTTGGCTGGACCTTAATTACCTGCTAAGAGTGCTGACGTAGAAGAGGCCTAGTGTTTTAGTTAAACCTGTTTCTATTGAGTTGATTCCTATGCATGGTTAGTACCCCTTTTTTGAGGGGTCCATATACTAATATTGAGTCTCTAGGTTTTATACATTTAATGATAAGAAAGGGTATCAAATATATAAAAGGAAGAAACAGGAAAGAGAGGCAAGTTCTTTTTTCCTAGGACCCCAGTTTTTCACTTTCATCTTACTTTCTTTTGCTCCTAAATCTTGTTTCTGTCAATTTTCTGAAGGGTGGAGAGAATTTCTTCACCAATGTGGGACAAGTCCGTGCATTATAGTCTTCTGTGCTCATTGAATGAGAGAAGAGGGTTGAGCAATATATAAACTGAATCCATTGCCCTAGGGTTGGGATCGGCATTTTTTTTTTAATAGATAGTTGCAATCCTGTTAATTTAGTGTAGTGCCTAAGGCACTTGACTACTAACCAGAAGCCTAGCGGTTCAAACCCACCAGAAGGAAGCTTGGGCAATCTACTTCCATAGTGATACTGCCTCGGAATCCCAAGGAGGGGTCTCTATGAGTCAGGTCTGACTCAATGGCACATAACAACAACAACAACATTGAACATTTGAAGAGCTCTGATGGCGTAGTGGGAAAGACATTTAGCTGCTAACCAGAAAGTCAGTGGTTCAAACCCGTCAGCTGGAGTAAATTGAGATGATCTACTTCTGTAAATATTTACAGCCTTGGAAACCCAATGGGAGTCACTATGAGTTGGAATTTCCTCGGTGGCAGTGAGGTTTTTTTTGTTTTGTTTTGTTTTTTAATGGGACATTTAAGGAGTCCTGGTGGCACAGTGGTTAAGAGCTTAGTTGCTAACCGAAAGCTTGGCAGTTCCAACTCATAAGGCACTTTGAGTAAAAAGTTATGTCATTTTGCTTTTGTAAAGATTATAGCCTTAGAAACCCAATGGGGCAGTTCTACTATTTTATAGGGTCACTATGAGTTGGGATCAACTTGGCAACAGTTTTGATATGATTATGTGGCCCATTAGCATTACCCACTTCGGGGCTGCCATATAGAATATCTTGTGGCAGAAGCTGCTGTGTGTGCTGTGAGATGATCAGACTTATTGGTACATTCATGGTTGATACAAGCCTGGGAGGTGAGTTGATGTTCAGGATGGTGGTAGAGGGAAGGGATTAAAAATTTCCATATTGTTGTACCAGTGAAGGAATAGACCATCACTTTCCTTTCCTTCTTCCTTTCATTCACTCATTTATTTATTCAGCAAATTCATTTATTCATCTGTTAATATATACTTAAGACATTTCTGAATATATCTGGCTATTACGTTCTAAAGGACCCATGGTGGTACAGTGGTTAAATGCTGGGCTGCTAATCAAAAGGTTGGTAGTTCGAACCCACCAGTTGCTCCATGGGAGAAAGATACAGCTATCTGGTTCTGTGAAGAGTAACAGCTTTGGAAACCATATGGGGTGGTTCTGCTCTGTCCTATAGGGTCTCTATGAGTCAGAATTCATCTTGATGGCAGTGGGTTTGGTTTGAGGTTGGATCACAGTCTAATACATCAGTTTCCTCTGTTTACTAAAAAGTGCCGCAAAAAAGGGTCACAACTGAAGTGATTTTCATATGCAGCCTTGCCAGCTTGTGCTTCATTGTCACTGGTTTATGCTAGATGATCTGCAGAAAGATGGTTTCATGGTGATCTAAACTTGGGAAATACTATTTAGTATATCTTGTACACCAAGCGTCATAATGTCAGTGACCGTTATTAAAGACTCTAATTAATAAATAAATTAAACTTTGTTTCACTCAACATTTCCTGAGCTGTTTTATAGTGGACACTTTCCTTTGCCTAATAAAACCTTAGCAACCTGTAGAATTTGTGTTTCATTGAACACACTGAGTGAAAATATTTCAGGGGAATTAATTCATAAACATCAGCTGGTAGCTATGGGGCTCTGAGTCTATACATTGGGCTTTGACAGGTGAAACATGCAACTATTAATCAATCAGTCTTTTCTCTGATTACAGATCAGACCTCAGGAAATGACTGAAAATTGTTTCTGGATAAAAGTAAATGAAAATAAGTATGAAAATGTGGATTTGTTTTGTAAACTTGAGAACACATTTTGTTGCCAACAAAAAGGTAAGTTTAAAATACTGGTTATTCGTGACTTAGTATTTTGTAATTTAATGCTGCTACTTTTTATGTAGGGCTTTTAAAGAAGCCTCAGGCAGCTAGTCGGGAGCTCTGGTAGTGTAGTACCTAAGGCACTTGACTGCTAACCAGAAGGCTGGCGTTTCAAACCCACTAGACACTCTGCAGAAGGAAGATGGTGCAATCTACTTCCGTAATGATACTGCCTCAGAAATCCAAGGAGGGGTTGCTATGAGTCGGGTCCGACTCGACGGCGCATAACAACAACAACAACAATAATAATAACAACTTTTTATGTACTTATCTATAGAAAGCATTATTTTAAGGATCTGATCCATAATTTTTTATTGTTATTAATGGGAAATTAAATAATAGAATCTAATGAAATATTTTAAAAGTGCACACTGTTATAAAGTGTGTCAAAGAAGTAATATTTTAAATGTACATCATGAATACAAAACTTGGTTAATTTTTCTGTATGACAGCTTTTTTGAAGATGCTCATTGGGATGAATCCTACTTTTGTAAAGGAAGATACTTACAGGGAACATTTTGACTTGAGAATACATACCCTTCAGTGCTGGTTGTTCACTGCTGTTGAGTTGGCCCTTGTCTCCTGGTAATTCCACCTGCAGAATGAAATGAAGTGCTACCCGCTCCTGCACCGTTTCCATGATCGGTTGTGCTTCAGGCCATTGTGATCCATAGGGTTCTCAATGGTTGATTTTTGGAAGTAGATGGTCAGGCCTTTTTTCTTAATCTGTTTTAAGTGTGGAAGCTCCACTGAAACTTTTTTAGTATCATATCTATATGAAAGCCTCCACTGATACCTGTGTGATGGCTGCACAGTGAGGTGTGTTGGCTGGGTATTGAAGCTTTGTCACTCTCACGGAAGGCTTAGTTTGTACCAGTGAATCACCAGTATAGCAAAAACTAAATATAAGTGTTCTTCTCATCAGAATTTTACCAACCATGCATAGTGTCTGAGGCATTTGACTGCTAACCAGAAGACTGGCAGTTCAAATCCACCAGCCACTCCTCAGAAGGAAGGTTGGGCAATCTACTTCTGCAGAGATACTGCCTCAGAAATCCAAGGAGGGGTCACTATGAGTCAGGACCGATTCAATGGCAGTGAGTTTGGTTTGACCACATAATTAATTGTTATTAGGGGCTGTCAAATCAGTTCCAACTCACAGTGACACTCTGTACAACAACACAACAAAATGCTTCTGAGTCCTACACCAGCCTGACGATCATTGCTGTTTTTGAACCACTGTTTTAACTACTGTGTCAGTCCATCCTGTTGATGGTCTGTCTTCCCCTTTCTCGCTGACTCTCTGCTTTACCGAGCATGATGTTCTTCTCCAAGAATGGTCCCTTCTGATAACATGTCCAAAGTAAATGAGAAGCAGTCTCACGTGATCTTCACTTCTAAGGAGCTTTCTGGCTGTACTTCTTCTAAGACAGATTTTTTCATTCTTCTGGCAGTCCATGGTATATACTATATTCTTTGCTGGCACCGTGAGTAGGTTATATGATCTTTTAGTTAAAGGCAAAGGTGTTTATTTTTCAAATTATTTCCTGACAGCTTTTACCTGTGCATTGTGATTTTAAAAATTCAAGCTTTACTCTTATCTGAAAATGAATTTATTCCATCTAATCTCATGGACCTACCACTTACATTTCAAGACTGATAACCACATATATCATCAAGTTAACTTTTAGGCATTATGTAGTTTATTAGTTCTGTAGCATAGGGACCTTAGATCAGTCATTACCTTTCAGTTTTCAAAAAGAACGTTATGACCATAGACTTACGTTACTTACGTTCATTGAACACAGAGTGAGCTAATGGAGATTGTAGGGAGTGGAGGTAGGAGGGCTTGGTGTAGAAGGGGAAAAATTGACTTCTTAAAATGCCTACTGTGTATTACGTACCATGTTAGCTATTTTATCTATTTGATTCAGCTTGATCATCATAGCAATCATGGAATGTTGGCAGATACATTAAAAATTGATTTAAATTCCTTTGAAATGCTTTCCAAAAATAACTGTAAATTGCAATTGTAAATCTTTCTCAAAGATAACTGTAAATTAAGGTAGCTTTCCAGAATTTGTGGTAAATCCAAAGCCTTTCACAGATGTTTTTGAGCACCATTGATCTTGTCTAAAATGTTAAAAATGATATAGTTAGGTCTTTGAAAAATGAGAATTTTCTCACCAACTTTAGCCTTGGAAAACTGGTGAAGTAAGCAGATCTTAATTTTACCTTTTGATTATGGAGAATCAAAATTTTCTTCTTTGAATAACATTAGTGCTCTCTTCAGGCAATCAAGGAAGCTATATGGCAGTTAAAATGTGTATTTACATGTAAAACACTTTAGAATTTCAGATTTCATAATCTGGAATTGATTAGTTGTCCCTTTGCTTTCCTCGTAGGTAAGAATGGTGGTACCGAAAAGCTATTTCAGTGATGCTACATCCAGCTTCTCTCTTTCTTTTTTTTTCATCTCTTTACTCTGATTACTTTCTTAATTAATGAGGCTCAAAAGGGAAACTTGTTAGCATGTCTTTAATTTAGCTGTAGTGTTAGCCCTAAATGAAATAATTGGACTTTTAAAAAATTCTTAAGTCATCTGACTTTAGCCTTGAGATTCAAGGTTGGGGAGGAAAAAAGATTTGCTCAACCTAATAGTAGTTATAAAGATTATGGTGAGGGAATGATGATCATTTTCCAAATATTCTGTGCTCTGTCCCTCTCTGACATGTACATTCTGTCCCCTCTGTCTAGGATTTGTCTTTCACTTGTCTTCTAGCCTGGTATAGGCTTATGGCTTCTTTTGTCTCAGTTCAATGCTATTTTTTTTCTGAGAGAATTGATGATGTTTTCCAGAGTAGCAGAAAATGGAGGGAAGCCCAGAGTTGTGTTCCTGGGCAATACTAACATTTGAAAATGCTAATGGGAAAGGACCTTGAAGGTGACCATTTTTAGCCGTGCATTTTTAAGAATATTTCCTAGAAAACAGTATTTGAGGACCTCTATAGGATAGCTAGCAGTCAGAATTCACTTGAGGGCAATGGGTTTGGTTTTTGGTTTAATGTGCTGCTTTTTGACACTTTAGGTAGTTAAATCCTCCACCCATCTTTGTCATTTTGTTAGACAATGTGGATTTGTATGTTGTTATGATGCTAGAAGCAATGCCACTAGTATTTCAAATACCAAGAGGATCACCATTGTGGACAAGTTTCAGTGGAGCTTCCAGACTAAGACAGACAGGAAGAAAAGCCTGGCAATCTACTTCAAAAAATCAGTGAATGAAATTTTATGGATTACAACAGAACATTGTCCTCCTTACTTGTTTTGTATACATCATCAGGAGGGATCAGTTCCTGGAGGATGACATCATGTTTGGTGAATTAGAGAACAGAGACAAGGGAGACCCTCAGTGAGATTTATTGGTGGAAAAGCTCTAACAGTGGACTTGAACATACCAACCATAGTGAAGATGGCACAGGCAACATTACATTCTATTGTACATAAGGTCACCATGAGTTGCAGTTGACTGGCAGCAGCTATCAACAACAAGAAGTAATTAAATATTTTGGAAAGGGCTTTGTTACGTTCAGATAAAAATAAAATTTTATATAGATATTTTATTAGGAAGATCAGAAAAGAAAGAAAGAGTAAGAAAGTGGTGTCCTGAAAACTTAGACAAGACTAAGGACTGCTGTGTGAACGGGCTGCCCAGGCTGTACATTAATGGCCTGGCTACAGAGGCACTGGGTCCAGATATTAACATTTGCCTGAAACCATGACTCTGAACGTCACTTTGTTTAAATCAGTTTTGTAGTTTCTGCAGAACTGAAAATTAAACCTAGTCTTCATTGTTCAGTACAAGATAGAAATACAGTTGCTTCTCCACTCTCTAGCAAGCAGGGGGATGATAGAGATATTGGTTGTGTGGAGGTGAAGGGAAATTTCAGGTATGAATGATTTTCATCGTTGATTTTTCATGACTAGGCATGGAAGGAGCGTATTCGGATAAACAAAGAATATAGTTAGTTTTTAGGGGGATGATAAAGCTCTGTTTTCTATTATAGTAATTCTTTAGACTAAAAATCAGGGCTATTTCTCTGATTATAAAGGTAAATGTGCAATCCCAGGCCTTTAGAATGGTGGCTGCCAAACCTTTATTTTTCCTGAGCAGTTTAAATAGTAAGAAAACAAGAACTGAATCCAATCATTTAAAGAGAACCTTGAAATTTTCTTTCATAAACCCTTTGATCTTTGTCATTATTGCTTTTTTTCTTACAGTGGACACAGCTTTTACTTTTCTGGGACTTTTAGGTTAAGATTATTGGGTTTTGCATGTCTCGTACCTTAAGAGTTAAAAAAGGAAGAGGAACTAAAAATGTCTCTGGAGCATCTATAGTGTACCAACTCCTGAGCTGGGTCTTCATGTTACCTTGTTTAATCTTTGCCACATCTTTCCTCCTGTTCTTTTGATTGCAAACTGTTCTAACTACCCCCCACTACCACCCTGACCCAACTATCCATGGATTAACAGAATATTTTTGGTAATAGCTTGGGCATTTCCTCTTAACTCTTTATTATATCTCTTTTCTTTCTTTCTTTTTAAATTTTTCAGTTAGATTTTTCTTACATTCTTTTTTAAACTAAGCTTCTCCCTGTGACCATTTATAACATTATTTTTATGGCAACGGACCTTGTGTCATCATCCTAAAGAGTTCAGGAACCCCTTTCTAAGCCTTTTCTTGTAAAATCAACATATTTTCCTGATTCAGTTATATCTTTATCTCAACTTTCTCACATTCCTCCTCTTACTGTTTTTCCCCACTTTTTTCTTTCTTACAGTTGACTTCAGCTACTCAATCCCACAAATATTTATTGTGTGCATATTTTATTTTAGGCATTATGTTTGGTATTGGGGACACTGTAGTGAATATGACTGATGAGCTCTCTGCACA